TATTTTAATGATTAACATATTCTTAGTTAATCAAGAAATCTTAAATTTGGTTAAGTTAAAACTCCAACAATATGTTAAAGATGTAGTATGTATGTAAAAAAGTAATGACATGTAATGCCATGTAATGCATGAAATTACACAAATTTTTGCTAAAGTAATGCATTATATTACAATTACATGTAATGCACAAATTGCTGCATTACACATTACATGCAATTACTTGGAAAAATGTAATGCATTACTATGCATTACAATTACAAATTTGCATTACCCCATGCCTGGAGGTCTGCTATGATTTTTAAAACTTTCATATGATTCCCCTAAATTATTGCTTTACACATGTCAAATGCATTTCAATTCATAGATTGTCACTTGAAAATTTATCAAGTAGATAAATTAAGTGTCTACTTATGAATTGAATTGTGTTTAGTTACTTGGTGATTTCACTGATCACTACGGAAACCGATCTCTATCTTCCTACACATGAAATATCAAACGAAATGAAGATTACATGGAAGTGGACAGTGTAGTATTCATTTTATACAGGAAAAGTAACTAGATGGTGTTTCATGTTTTAGTAAAAAAGGATGAATAGATAATTTTAGGATATTTGTCTTCACAGCAATTAAACTTCAGACAAAATGAGAAGATAATAACAATAACAAAATACATAGATAAAAAAGATACGTTTAAAAGGTTAACATTACATGCTATTTTACTCATAACCATTGTGAATCGTACATTGTTTCCCTGAGGGTGTCAACAGCTCAGTAGTTTTTTTTTTATCATATAGCTCTTTATCTGTTTTGGTTCTTATACATTCTTGGCTTTCAAATATTAGGCTTTGGGCATCCCTGATTAAGGTATATCCAGAAAATCGATTCGAAAACATGCAATTTATAACGTGTTGTTTTCATTTTTTGTTTGTTCAAGAAACTACATATTAAACAATACAACAGATAATTAAGGAAGTATAATACTGATTCAATTAATCGAATTTTAAAACATTTCGTTTATTAATACTGTTTTTCCTTTCTGAGTTTCTATGACAAATAGGGTGCATTGCATCTTTAAAAGGTTTTATGTCTAAACAAGTTATATTTCCTGATCCGTTTCTAAACAGGAATCATTTATCGCTTACATGGCTATTGTGACGTCATTTTTTAGAAGGTCTGGTACCCAAGGGTCATACAAGTGGGAGGTTAATCTAGCTATCAAACCAGGTTTAACTCACCATATTCGTTGGAAAATGCCTGTACCAAGTCAGGAATATGGCAGTTATTTTTCACTTGTTCCGTTGATTGACAGCGTTTGTTTTTTTGTCATTTTAATGTTATATTTAACATTGCCAGAAAAGCGGGAGATTTGGTTAGCCACAAAACCAGGTTCAACCCACCATTTTTTCTTTAAATATCCTGTACCAAGTGAGGAAAATGGCAATTGTTATATTATAGTTCGTTTCTGTGTGTGTTGCATTTTAGAGTTGAGTTTCTGTTGTGTCGTTGTTCTCTTACATTTGATGTGTTTTCCTCAGTTTTAGTTTGTAACCCGGATTTGTTTTTTTCTCAATCGATTTATGAATTTCGAATAGCGGTATACTACTGTTGTCTTTATTTATGGACTTCCTCGTTTTGAATTTGCCTTGGAGTCGATAATTTTGTTATACTATTTTACCCGATAAAAGGGTCCGTTTCGGGTTTCAGAATTGACAATAATGGGCAAAAATTCAAGATAAAGGGCAGAATAGTTAGAGAATAAAGAAAAATTGACGAAAAAATAAAAATACGAATAAGTTAGTGCTTAAATGTATGAAACGGAATAGTGGGCAAAATTAATAACGAATAAACATGATAAAGAAACATGGAAGACAAAGTTGAAGAGTAAAGAAATGAAGGACATCCATCCAGACCATCTTATAATATATCAACATGTTGATTAATGTTTATTATCATCTTTTTTGTTGCTATAACATAAAACAATGAATGAGGGTCTGGATGGGGATCCCTTATTTCTGAATTCTTTAATTGTTTAGATTATTTTTCTGTATTTATATTTTTTGCCTATTATTCTCTATTCTTTATATGTTTGCCCTATTTTTCTCTATTCCTACTTTTTTTAGCCCTTTATTCTGCAAATTTTACTTATTTTTCTCTATTCTGTAAATCCCATCCAGACCTTCATGAATGAAGACAATAAAATAACTAGAATTACTTATATCAACAATTTAATAAATCAAGCATGGAGACAGTTATTCATTTATTGGTTTCCATATATCTAATTCAGTCTTAAGTATCAATAATTCATTATTAGCATGCACAAAAATGTGTCTGATTAACGTCATCTTTATCAAAGTCATATCAATCGCGTTTTAGTGATGAATTAATAAAATTCCTGCATTATAAATTTCAGTGAACACAATCGCAGAGGCCTCAGCGGTGAAAAGAAAACGTATACAATCCAATAATTTATGTCAGACTAACATACATGGAAATGAGAATAGTTGGAATGTAAAATAAGTATGTAGGTCGATTAAGATAAGCAATATAAAACTTGTTAAATGATAATTTTAAGATATACAAATTGATTAACCAGATAGAAAAACTATGAACGCGATTATTCTTGCAAATCTGTTGATATCGTATATTTATTTTAAAGAAATACATTCAGAATACGGCAATACATTCACTGCTTGTGCATTACTTTCCTTAAAATCTTTTTGGATATAGTTTTGTGAAATTATGGATTAAAATTAAAAAATGAGAACACTTGGCATTTGCTTAGCACATTATTAAACGTAAATAACGCACATTATGCGTACGATACTGCCTACCAAAATATGACTTTTTCTATCTAATTTAATCAATTTGAAAACAAAGTTGTCTTGTTCAACGTACCGCGATGAACCTCGTTATTCTTCATTGGACAATAAATGAATACAAATTATATTAAGATGATAATAATTATGTTAAAAGTTTTTCAAACTGTCTCAAGTGCTCAAGTTATTACTAAACATATATTTCCTATTTATAATTCGCAATTGAAGTTTGTTGAATCATTGAAACCTGGTGTCTACTTAGAAAATGAAAAATATTTGTATATCGTTTGAATAGAACCACATAACACTAAAGACAAATACGTTTCCTGTCAGTCCGTTTTAATAATTGATAATCAAAATAGTCGAAAAGGAAGTTAACAGTACTTAGCTGCTTTTATACATATAAACAGTAAGTAGTATTTGCTATCATACTTTTTAATATGTACAAAAAATCTTTAAATTTACATATTGCATACGATTTACTGTCTCTACGTCAAAATATTTAAATCACGGAGTAGCCAATTAAGCAGAGTATCCTATTAAGATTCTTAAATAACCTGTATCTAATGCCATAATGATTGTTTTGTTTTTCTTCGTTGATCCTGAACACTATATTTTATCGGATACTTAAAAAGACAGTTCATGTATAATTAGGCATTTCTTTGAACATTACGCTTTTTCAACAATTCAACAATGAATTTAAGGAAAACAGCGTGTATTGCTTCTTCTACATGTTTAAATTATGAAGAATGTTGCATGTTAACACATATAGTTGAAGGCAGAAAATGTATTAAGATTTGATGCACCAGCTTAAATAGGCTTATATAAATATTCTTTACTTATAAAACTCACAATAAAGAAAAATTAAAAGTTCAATGAAAAGTTATTGGATTCAACGTATATAAAAGTTAAACTATACCCAGGTTACACATATATACACATGACTATTTCCTAATAGCTCGAAAAAGAACGCCTATTTGTTAGCTTTAAATAAACACTGTGGGATCGTTTTACATGTTTTGAAAATCGAAGGGGGAGATGTAAAAAACTACTACTTATTAAAATGTTGATCTTTTTTATTTTATAAATAATTCAATTAAAATCATATGCAGATCTTATTTACAACTGACGAATGTATTTTCTGCACAAATGTTTTCTTTGTATATATATATATCTTAATCTGTCGTGTTTTTTTTTCATCTGTATGTAACTTGGAAATAAATTCTTAAGAAAAAAGTAAATAAATCTATCCCTACAGTTATTTTGTAACCAGTTCGTTAATCAACTTCCAATCAAATACACCCAGATTCACAAGGTTCTTCCGAATATCCAGATAAATGACAATTTAAGTTTAGATCAATATATGCATTGTCCAAGCAAACACAAAATTGTTACATTGTTCTGAAGCTTTCCAGCTAAATTGATTTATGAATGAGGACTTTTTTTTGTATACTAGTATTTAACAATGTATGTACGCTTCATTAGATAACACCTTATTTAAACGGTCTAAATGTAAAATACTTAGCACCAAGTAATGCAGGTTTGATTGACTGGATCAAAACGCGAAAAGACGACATATTTTGGCAATGTTGATCATCATACATAAATTGGAATACGATGCACTATTTTGAAAACACATTATCATATTTTTGTCATCCGTCATTGACTTTTCAATTAAGCAAATACTCTTATAATAAACAGTACAATGTAGTAAAAAGAGAGAAAATCAGAACCATTGTAAACTACACTTAAAAAAATAGAGAGTAGTTAACAGTCATATATTGCTTTGACGAGAAATTACTAAAATAAAATAATAATTAAGTTTTTATGATTATCGTGGGATATAAATGGAAATATTATATTACATGTATTTAAAGTGTTCTAGGAATTGAACAAAATCTTATCTTCCTGTACAGTTAAAAAATCATAACTTATGAAGTTGATGTATGAAATCTACGTTGAAGTCGTCAATCGATATCAAAGTGTAGTTTCAGATGATATCATTGAGTTTATACTTCATACCGACTTTAAACTATCATAAGTAGCTTCGTGAATTCAATTAAATTGCTTTTTGCTGTTTTGTTTGTACTTGTGATTTTTAATAGGATTTCTATTTTACCATTACTATATGTCGAATTTCGTGTACTGTTTTTTATTGTATCTACTTCCCATTTGTTAGTCCACAGACCGAGTTTAAAAAGGGGAGTACGAATTGATGCACCACGCATCCAGTCGTCTTGCTGTTGGAATATCTTAGATGGTAATTAATGTTAGATGAACACCTTACTTCTTATCACATTCATTTTGTTAAAGAGAACCTCAAATTAATACCTGTCGCGGGTAAAAAAGTTTTGTAAAACAATTATTTAACTATGGCTACCGAACAGTATAACCAGTTTCGAAAAGAGAGAAGACTACGTCTGTTTTTTTGAATTGGGGTATATATAACTCCCGCTTTTTTATATAACTTCAGCAAGTGAAGGTCGATTCATGTGTCCCGTTAAAACGTTCACGCATCTTTGGAATACATATGATAATATCATGCGCAGGTAATTTTGTTCTTATTGACTAGCCCGATGTCATTGAAGTAAAGTTCCTTATGAAAGCTGTCAACCTATATGACTGAAACTTCAAGGTCAAGCATATGCCTACCGCTTTCAACATGTCTTAAAGTGACATTAAATTGTAATATATGCTTTGACTTTGCAGTATGGGTTTTACTCATTGTTGAAGGCCGTACGGTGACCTATAGTTGTTAATTTCTGGATCAGTTGATCTCTTGTGGAGAGTTGTCTCGTTGGCAATCATACCACATCTTCATATTTTTATACTTATCGTGATTTGCAGTTTTGCATGTTAATGTGGATACATTGTTTATGTTCTCATGTGACAACAATCGTAGATACCTAAACTGTTTTGTACATCCACATTATATGGTTTACAAAATTGACAACATCATGAACATGAAGACGAAACTCAAATTATTTGTCTTTGAAATGAATTTGTTTTTGTTTTAAGTAAAATAACATAGCAAGGCTTACAATTCGGTACGTCAGTCGCTCGTTTTGTCTACATAAGACTCGTCAGTTGAGCTGGAATCAAAACAAATATATCATGTACATATTTAATATATATTTAAGATGTATATAATTATCTGCCTACTCGGATAACTTAAAATTATTTAATTTACCATTGGTGATATCTCTTGTACAAACATGTTAGTTTCAAAGAAAATGTTTTAAACGGTACATTACTACTGATAAACTTTTCTTGCGAATTAGTTAGAACACAGACGGGTATTTTTATGTTTTCTTTTTAATTTCCGGTAAATAGTATCCGTGTCACAAAATATCAATTTATACATATTATATAAACAATTAGTTATTTTATGTCAAAGAATGAATGACTCTTAGACAATGTTTTTACAATGCTTTCCCTTCAAGCCGCTCTTTCTCAAACATAAACATGATAACATAATTATGTATTTTAATGGGTTTTGTTTTTAATTTCATCAATTAAACGATATGCATTTGTATTTCGTGTTTTTTGTTTTGCAGGACAATGGTTCTTTTTATTGTGTTTGCATTATGTAGCGTTATTTTAGCTGCACATTCAATTCAAGCGCAGAGTACGGGTAAGATTTTTTGTTTTGTTTTATATCGTTTATATCTAAAAGATGTAAGTCAAATACCATAATTTTGTTCGATATCGTGGATTTATGTTGATAATTGAAGTGTATCGGTATGTAGTCGTGAAATTTTGACTTTCATATATTCGTAGTTAGACTCATTAGTGACGTAGTTCTACAGCTCTAAATGTTGAATGAAGCATGTTACCAGCATGTTACCAGCATGTTACCAGCATGTTACTAGCATGTTACCAGCATGTTACCAGCATGTTACCAGCATGTTACCAGCATGTTACCAGCATGTTACCAGCAAGTAATAATGTACAAAGAAATGGAAGCAAACATTGAACTAAGCCGATTGAATTCATCAATCTTTCTTTCAGGAGATGTAAGGTTGACCAATTCTAAGAGGCTTGAAATTTACTACAGTGGTGAATGGGGTACAGTTTGTGATGATGAGTTTGATGACAACGACGCTAAAATAGCCTGTAAACAACTTGGATACAGGTTTATAAATACTACACTAGAAATAGTCCGCAAATATTTCCCCATATTAAATACTATAAAAATTTAGCGCATACTCGTAGCTCCCGTTTATGCCAGTAGTTCCCGTAACGGATATAATCAGCGGATATAAAAATATATTACTTTTGTCAAAAGAAACAAAAAGGGTTTTGAAATAGGATTAACGTATTGTGTATCACTTCATGCAAATGGCAGAGTAAAAATATGTAATCTGTTGTAGCAAATACGTGTACTGCTTCATTGTGCAATTTTACAAAGATTTTAGAAAATGCCTTTTTGTGTTCATCTGTCTTCAAAAGTTGACACTAAAGAAATTAGGAAAACAATATTATCTCTCTCTTGCCTTTTTTAAATCTACTGTACCTTTTTAGCTCACCGGGGCCCGAAGGGCCCCATGTGAGCTTATGCCATCACTTGGCGTTCGTCGTCGTCTGTCGTCTGTCGTCGTCTGTCATCGTCGTCTGTCGTCGTCGTCTGTCGTCGTCTGTCGTCGTAAACTATTTAAAAAATCTTCTTCTCTGAAACTACTGGGCCAAATACCTTCAAACTTTAACTAAATGTTCCTTAGGGTATTTAGTTTATAAATTGTATCCGAAGTTTTGATCCATCGACAAACATGGCCGCCATGGCTAAAAATAGAACATAGGGGTCAAATGCAGATTTTGGCATATATCTCAAAAACTAAAGCTTTTAGAGCAAATGTGACATTTGGTAAAATTGTTCAATTGGTCAAGATCTATCAGCTCTGAAATTTTCAGACGAATCGAACAACCCATTGTTGGGTTGTTGCCACCGAATTGGTAGTTTAAACAAAATTTTGCAGTTTTTTGTTATTATTTTGAATATTATTATAGATATATATAAACTGTAAGCAGCAATGATGTTCAGCAAAGTAAGATCTACAAAAAAGTTAATATTACTATAATGATCAATTGACCCCTTAAGGAGTTATTGCCCTTTAAAGACAATTTTACACAATTTGTTCATAAGTTTGCTAACATTTAAAAATTTTCTCCTCTGAAACTACTGGGCCAATTACCTTCAAACTTTAAGTAAATGTTCCTTAGGGTATCTTGTTTATAAATTGTATCCAAAGTTTTGATCCATCGACAAACAGGGCCGCCATGGCTAAAAATAGAACATAAGGGTCAAATGCAGTTTTTGGCTTATATCTCAAAAACTAAATCTTTTAGAGCAAATGTGACATGGGGTAAAATTGTTTAATTGGTCAAGATCTATCTGCCCTGAAATTTTCAGACGAATCGAACAACCCATTGTTGGGTTGCTGCCACCGAATTGGTAGTTTTAACAAAATTTTGCAGGTTTTTGTTATTATTTTGAATATTATTATAGATATATATAAACTGTAAGCAGCAGTAATGTTCAGCAAAGTAAGATCTACAAAAAAGTAGATACGACCATAATTGTCAATTGAACCCTTAAGGAGTTATTGCCCTTTAAAGACAATTTTACACAATTTGTTCATCAAGTTTGCTAACATTTAAAAATCTTCTTCCTGAAACTACTGGGCCAATTACCTTCAAACTTAAAGTAAATGTTCCTTAGGGTATCTTGTTTATAAATTGTATCCGAAGTTTGTATCAATTGACAAACATGGCCGCCATGGCTAAAAATAGAACATAAGGGTCAAATGCAGTTTTTGGCTTATATCTCGAAAACTAAATCTTTTAGAGCAAATGTGACATGGGTTAAAATTGTTTAATTGATCAAGATCTATCGGCCCTGAAATTATCAGACGTATCGAACAACCCATTGTTGGGTTGCTGCCACCGAATTGGTAGTTTTAACACAATTTTGCAGTTTTTAGCTCACCGGCGTCTGAAGGGCCCCATGTGAGCTTATGCCATCACTTCGCGTCCGTCGTCGTCCGTCGTCGTCGTCTGTCGTCGTCTGTCGTCGTCGTCTGTCGTCGTAAACTATTTAAAAAATCTTCTCCTCTGAAACTACTGGGCTAAATACCTTCAAACTTTAACTAAATGTTCCTTAGGGTATCTAGTTTATAAATTGTATCCGAAGTTTTGATCCATCGACAAACATGGCCTCCATGGCTAAAAATAGAACATAGGATCAAATGCAGTTTTTGGCTTTATCTCAAAAACTAAAGCTTTTAGAGCAAATCTGACATGGGATAAAATTGTTAATTTGTCAAGATCTATCAGCTCTGAAATTTTCAGACGAATCAAACAACCCATTGTTGGGTTGCTGCCACCGAATTGGTAGTTTTAACAAAATTTTGCAGTTTTTTGTTATTATTTTGAATATAATTATAGATATATAAAAACTGTAAGCAGCAATCATGTTCAACAAAGTAAGATCTACAAAAAAGTTGATATGACCATAAGTGTCAATTGACCCCTCAAGGAGTTATTGCCCTTTAAAGACAATTTTACACAATTGTTCATCAAGTTTGCTAACATTTAAAAATCTTCCCCTCTGAAACTACTGCGCCAATTACCCTCAACTTTTTACTAAATGTTCCTCAGGGTATCTTGTTTATAAATTGTATCCGAAGTTTTGTATCCATCAACAAACATGGCCGCCATGGCTAAAAATAGAACATAAGGGTCAAATGCAGTTTTTTGGCTTATATCTCAAAAACTAAATCTTTTAGAGCAATTGTGACATGGGGTAACATTGTTCAGTTGGTCAAGATCTATCAGCTCTGAAATTTTCAGACGAATCGAACAACCCATTGTTGGGTTGCTGCCACCGAATTGGTAGTTTTAACAAAATTTTGCAGTATTTGTTATTATTTTGAATATTATTATAGATATATATAAACTGTGAGCAGCAGTAATGTTCAGCAAAGTAAGATCTACAAAAAAGTTAATATGACCAAAATTGTCAATTGACCCTTTAAGGAGTTATTGCCCTTTAAAGACAATTTTACACAATTTGTTCATCAAGTTTGCTAACATTTTAAAATCTTCCCCTCTAAAATGCAGGTGAGCGATTCAGGCTCTTGAGAGCCTCTTGTTTAAGCTTCTATTAGGAAAAGCAGTAAGCTAAGTGTTTGAGAGTTTAAATCGTCAAATGCATTATTGAGCACGGTAATTCGGCAAACAGTGTACTTTTATCAATACTGTAATGCAATACGAGTAAAACATGAACATGAAAAAAGTCATAAAAAATATCTCGGAAAGGTCGACCGTGATTGCACGAGGTTGTTGCTAACGATTCCAACTTAAAGTGACAACATATGTCAAATTCAATCAAAAGGGTTTTACATCCTATTACGTTATAAACGAACGTGTAAGTGTTTAATTGAATGAATAAGGGTAAGACAAATATTATTGCAACGACACGATTGCAGAGTGGTAATCTAAGTAAGCGTCTGGTAAGATTTCTTTTTATCTCTAAGTGGACAAGACATAAAATATTAGTTTTTGAGCCTCAAAAGAACTCCTGATTTTCACTCTTTTTGTCACTTAATTGTAAAACAAACTTAATGCACCTTAGTACATTAGTTCAATTTTGTTTCAATAGCAATGGAAAATCTTTAGGAAATGCAGTAGATGATGGCAGCGGCAAAATATGGCTTGACGACTTAAAATGCACGGGAAGTGAGAGTAAACTACGGTACTGTTATCATGCAGGATGGGGCAAAGAAAATTGCAAGCATGATGAAGATGTGGGAATTCTTTGCGATAACAATAGTCCAGGTACGTCAATATAAGAAAATATTCTGAATTATAAGTATCTATATGCAAAAAACTCAGTAGTTTTTACATTTTACATAATTTCTTATATCATAATTAATTGAACCATTCTTTTTGCACCATATACGCATTTCGACATTCAATGTCTCTTCGGGGATGCTCATCGCGAAATTATTTGAATATTAAAAGACATTGAACACCTATTATTTCACTTTTTTTGCTCAAACATGTTTTATTGTATAACTTTCTAAAGGCAAGCATTAAAGCGTTCAATCAGCACCCTGTAATGCAATGGTTGTTTTTTGTCCTCATCTGAGTTTTTCATTTATTGCTGTAGTGTAAATGGGCCGTTGGTTTTCACTTGTGAAATATTTTACATATGGTGATCTTTTAAACCTTATTATATGGTATGGGTTGTCCTCATTGTTGTTTGAACGTTCTCATTGAGATAACCATTTCCGGAATTGTGTGCGTCCGAAACGCTTTTCTGGACAAAAGTTAGGAGCTACAAATTCAAGAGGACAAACAAAAATTAGAAAATTTCATCTAAGGTTAACTTTAGAACCTAAGTTTCTTAATATCAATTGCTTAATTATTAACGGGGCATTTCAAATAAGTATTTGTTATGAATCATCTCAGTAACATTCTCACCAATATATTGATTACCTACACATCAAGGTAAACACAACCTTAAGGAATTCAATGAAATCTACAATGCGCGAGACATGATGTGTCGACGGGTTAATCTGTGTCATACAAATTCATACTCAGTTAAAATGTTAACAATAGGACACTATCGATACATTTACAAATCAGACGACTATTCTAGTTTCTAAATATATATTAGACTTTAGAAACAGAGAGAACGAGCAGTTGTATTTGCTTGGACATTTAGTATTTTAGTAGTGGTAGAATATATACATTAACGAGTAGTCTATTCAAAGCTAATATAAGTCGTCCAGATATTCGATTCAATTCTACAAGAAGCAATTTTCTAACTCTCTAGAATTTTATATTAGACCTACTGTTTATAAACATTCCATGGTAAAATAAAAATGCTAATACTAACAACATCCGATACGAAAATAAATCCTCTTCTTTCACTTGTTTCATATATGCGAATGTAACATTTTTTCTCTTTGTTTTTGCTGCTCTTTTAATTTTGTTTACATTGCTTAGTTACTTGTGTCATATTTTTGTTTGATCTAAATGAGTTGGCACTATGAATGTAGTACGTAAGGTATAACCACTTAAAAACATCTTAAAAATGACGCAATGAAATTAAATAGATATTGACAAAACATTCCAAAAATATTGGTACAAAAATGTACACTTTTTAGGTCTTATTTTATTATTGTTCCTTTGGTTATTGTTAGTTAATGGTGGCTGGTCAACATGGGCACAATGGACGACATGTAGCAGCAGCTGCAATGGTGGTCTACAGACCAGAACACGTGAATGCAATAACCCTATACCTCAATATGGAGGGACATGCTGTAATGGAGCGTCATCACATACCATAAAATGCAATACTGTATCTTGTCCAGGTACAAATGTCTCAACAACATATCTCCTAAGAAGCAATTGACACATGTTAAATCTGATTTTTGCCTTTATGTTATGCTAATAAGATTCCAGAATTGTCGAATAGACAATTATACAATGTAAATGATATAAAAGTCATCGGAAACTAATCTTAGATACCAAGCTTTTCATTTAAATACGCAAGACGCGTGATTTGACAGTACACGACTAACTAGTTGCACCGAAACAAAATCGTGTAATCAATTGAAAATTATTGTAAACAAAAAGTTCCTTGAAATATCTAAAAGAGGCTTACTCTTCCCATGCTTGGAGACGAAAACCTTAGTGTTCAGAAAATGTTTATGAACAGTTAATCGTTGGAAGAGCAATGAAAACTCGAATATTCTCCAGGACAAGACGTCTTTCAGTGTCATCGTCAAAAATTCCAGACTTGTAAAAGATTTTGGGGCCCTTTATAGCTTGCTGTTCGTTGTGAGCCAGGGCTCCGTGTTGAAGACCGTACTTTGACTTATAATGGTTTACTTTTATTAATTTTGACTTGAATGGAGAGATGTCTCATTGGCACTCATACCACATCTTCTTATACCTATTAAAAGAAAGTTTATATTTAAATAATGCTTCAAATCCTTTTATGAAATGCACAAACTGCAAAAACTGACAAAATTATCCTCATTTTGAGATTTTATCTTTTAGATATGACACAAAGCTGTACCAAATATATTCATCATAGATACCATAACACGTATTAAAATTTTGTACGCGTTTCGTCTACAAAAGACTCATCAGTGATGCTTGAATCAAAAATGATATAACGCCGAATTAAATTACAAAGTTAAAGAACATTGAGCAAAACAGCTACACTATACATTTCATAAAGATGTTAATGTGTTCAAATAACTGGTCTGGTAAGGCTTTGGCTCGTATATATATTGTCATAAAAACTGTTTGCAGAACAGCGATTTTTGAACAATTTGATTATTTTGGCATGATCATGATATCATAGTGACATCAAAAGTGACCTTTTTGTATTTAAGTGTCCAGATTATATAAAGCCGCTAATTTAAAAATAAGATTGATATAACTTTGAAAGTTTAAATAATGTTACTGTTGTTGCAATATCATGAATCTGATCATGCCTCAGCTTGCAAAACGCGTATCCGTTTACAAAAAAACTGATTGATTGGTTGATTAATTATTATTTAACGCCACTTTCAGCACTATTGTGCAATATTGTGGGGGTCAGTTTTCAAGTAAATGAAACCGGAATTCCCGGAGAGAACCACCGACAAAAGACTAATAATTCCACTTCAAATCAAAACAACTAAAACGTCAAATCTGTATCAAGTACTGAGAGCACAACACGTGTTCCTAGATAACACAACGTTGGAAAGCCAAAATTAGCAAACAGCATAAAAAGAACAGCAAGTGTCGCAAACCTTTTACCTAATAAATCTGCTGAATATGTTGCAATAAGATGTAAGGAATTATGGTTGTTTTTGTTATTATTATTCAGCAAGATAATATGAGGGCGAAGTCCTCAAAAACTGTAGAAAATTCAATAAAATGAAGAAAAAAATACTAATGAACTCAAAAACGTTAACTTTTTTTAAAAAAATGTTCAGTCTTCCGTTTTAGTATTTAAAAATGTGAGATAGCGTTTATTTATTTACATTGAACATGAATTCAAAAATTAAATCTATAATAACAGGACCAACATCGGAAAAGATCTGTAGTTCTGTTACTTTTTCAACAAACTTAAAAATATGCTGGGGGGGGGGGACGTTTTGTAACCTGAAAAGGGGTGGAAGGAAATTTTTCCTAACGGAGAGGGGGTGCCCTATTTAATACTTTAGATGGGGGCATCGAAAAATGTTTCCAAAAATTGAGGAATTCTGTATTTCAAACATGCAAACATTATAGCTTATTTGACGAATACACTAAATAAGTATAGCATTATTCATCAGAGGTGTCTAATACTTGATTCAGCTGTCATATTTATATCTCCCGTGTCATCATTTTTGGCTTCAAACTTTATTTCAATGTTTGTTTCATGTGAATCATAACCGTCCTTTGTTTTTTTTTGTTGGACACGAAGAACGATCATATCAGGAACTGATGATTTGATATCTTAGTTTTAGCAGCTTTTCTCGAAGCTTTTGTAACACCACTTTCACATGTTAGGGGAGGGTTGAGCGCTCACAAACAAGTGTACCCCGCCAAATTGTGTGTATGTCTTCTCAAGTCAGGACCACGTAGTGCAGTGGTTGTCGTTTGTTCGGGTCTGTCATATTTGTTTTCGTTAGTCCTCTCTTTAAAACTGTTTCACATTTTTTCATGTCTGGACTTTTTATAGCCGATCAAACCGTAAGAAATTTGTTTTATTGTTGAAGGCCGTACGATGGCTTTCAATTGCTTACAGCCACTTTGTTTAACTCTGTTGGAGAGTTGTCTAATTGGCAATCATACCACATCTCATTTTTATAATTATCCAAATAAAGTTGCATGAAGTCACATACTGATGCAATATTTTATTGAACAAAAATGATATAAATAGAAATTGTAACCATGTATTTTTGTTAAAAAGGATAATAGTATTGACAAACGTTGTGGGAAGGGGGGGGCAGTTTTATGTCTATGTAAGGGAGGGGTCTTGAATTTATTTATTCCCCAATGAAAGAAAATGACAAGCACCTTACGTGTAGTAGTTTAATTTAATTTATACGGACTTCGTCCTCTTTCACAGGTAACACCTGCATCATATTATATACATGAATAAGTATTTTTTGGTAATTTGAATCAATCAGTTAATGGTGGCTAGAGTGAATGGTCCCTATGGAAATTTTGTAATGTTACATGTGGTGATGGGATACGAATGAGATTTCGAAGCTGTGATAGTCATTTTCCAGTATATGGATGCTTCAAATGCGCTTCAATCGATTTCGAATTTCGACAATGCAATGCCACAGAATGTATCAAAGATAAGGCATGTAAGAGACCAAAACATCAACGTATTGGAATGTTTCGCTTTATTTGTTCTCTTTAAATCTGTTGTTGATTTGGCCTTTTAATTGTTTTAATTCAAGCGAAACTGATGTAAACGTTAACGAACGACTGGCGTTACAAAATCTAAGCATGGTATCTTTGATTATTGTTTTGTTTTAGGGATTGGTATCGCCTCTAGATGTAGTTTCTGCAAATGGCTTTGATAGACCATATTTGATTAATCCAAAATAATCAATGAAAAATGTATAAACTAAAATAGATATGTTGTTTGACGATTAAGGGAAAAAAATATAACACTGAACCGAATAAGTATCATTTACAAAGAAATAGGTTAATAGACAAATCACTTGTACATTGTTTGTAATTAAACGTTACAAAATTTCTTTTATATCATATGGTTAAACATAATTTCAATAGCATTGCATTTGCTCGACTTTTGTTCTCCGTTTCATAACGATAGCATCATGACATGATTAGTTTACTTGTCTCTTTATATATACAGCTACATGTTCTATGATTTCATTACGATCTTTCTGGTATTTTAAAGAAGTCGAGATTTCCAATATTAGGTATACTTCACCTGCAGATCGAAAATAAAATTTACATAACGTCAAACGTCTCTACTCAAAAGATAACGGTTTCATCTATCTAGATCTGCATTCAAAACATATTCCATTATTTCACAGATAAATAATTCTGTTAAATTGATTTACAGTAATTGATGGCGGTTGGTCAACGTGGACCAACTGGACGGATTGTAGCAGACTTTGTAATGGTGGGCTAAATGAAAGATCACGTTACTGCGACAGTCCGCCTCCATTTAATGGTGGATTGTATTGTGATGGAACGCCAACCGAAGCACAACTATGCAACACCGTTTCTTGTTCAGGTGAATATAATGGAAATGCAAATTCAAATTTATACCATAAAAATGTGATCAAAATATAAAAAAAACACATATTAAAAGGTTTATGAACGCTTGAGTCCAGAAGTTTAATTTCTTCTCTATGTAGATTATGAGTTGTGATACATTAATGATTTGGTATTTGTTTGTGATTGTTATCGTAATTTTTATATGCATTTACCTTTTTTATGTTATCATGAATGTTTTTTTTTTCTTCAAAAAATCAAAATTTACGAAAAGTGGTAATATAAATTTAGTCTTACGTTTCTATTATTCGGTTAGAACATGATTAAGATTAAATAACATATTTTGCGTTGTCCAAATATAGTATGTATACGACAATAATATTATTAGTAAGTTATTTCCAACATCTCCATTCTATTTAGTTTAGAATAATGTCTGTCCCAATTTGCTGTACTAGAATGACTGAACATCCCAGTGTTTACATGTGAAACATGTATTCATAGGTTCATGTTTATGAATGTAGGTTCTTCACCGTTTGTTCTATATAATGCCTTATATCTTCTTTACAGTTGAAACGTACATGTATATGTGATAATATTATATCATAATGATCCTTCCTGGTTTGGGAACTGCAATATTTCACGTTTAAGATTGGTAACAATAAGTCTTGTATCAAAACAAACAAAGTTAGTATGTGTGTTACTGTGAACCACGTATATGTATAAAAAAATCCTCGTTTTTGTACAATTCTAGAGCTATAAAAATAATCCTATAGCATTATTTCTTTACATTAGGCATAGAGTCAAAAATGGTGCTAGCTTTAATAGTTGGTGGAGTAGCTGTGGGATGCATTTTAATTACAGTTGCTTTGGTGTTGATTTGTAAACATGTGGTTGAAAGCAAGCAAATACAGAAGAAAGGTACACTTATATATATTCGGTTTGAGCGTTCCTGATGAAGGTAAACCAGAAAAGCGCTTCGGACACGTGAAATTATTTAACGTGTTGTTTTTATTTTTTATATGTATCAGCTCATTTAACTACCAAAACACTCAATACGTTTGTTTTCAAATAACGTACCTCCGTACAAGGTAGAATTTTCATAATGTGTATTGCAAATACATGTATCGAAACAAAGAGCTTTTTGTTCATAAAATAAGGTGATGTGGTATGATTGTCAATAACACAACAATCCAACAGTTTCAACTGTAGAAGATTTGAGTTATTATAGGTCATTGTACTGCCTTAAACAGTGAGGAAAACCCATACCTTATAGTCAGCTCAAAAAGGATCTAATCGCTGTTCTTAACAAAATACACAGTCCGATAGTTTCTTCTTCGCTTTTTAAAAAATGTAAGTATCATTAACACTACTTCAATTGTCAATGGTCAATATTTCAGACCTGAAGTGACTCTTGCCCAAACCAAGTAAACAACTATAATACATGTAGCATAGTTGTTTCTTGTAAACGTGTTACTTATCTTTATAATTCCTTAAAATGCATACATTTTACGTAAGGTATAAATCTCGACATCAACTTGATTCAAAACTTCATTCTGTTGTTTTTTGTTTTTTTTTTTGTTTTGCAAATTATTGTTAAAAATATTCTGTAACATGTTTTATTCGAAAATGTATTACAATTTAAGCAAACGTGTAGTTTATTTTGATCATTTACCTTGGTATACATACTTATCAAGAACATTATTTAAAAAAAGAAAACGTTTAACGAAGCTACTTATCACTTTAAGGTTAACTTTGCTTGATTCAAATATGTTGGCTATTAAACCAACATTGTATACGATTCGTATGTTTATTTTTTAGCAGTTGCAAATACGTGCTTTCAAGAAGAAAAGTAAGTTTTATTTGCCTTATTTATAAATATAAGTTATCTTAATTGCCTCTGCGTACCTATACAGATTCCCAGCTTATACGGGTATGTTTGCTCTAAATTTATTATAATGTAGTGTCATCAAGTTGTTCGTGTTTATGTAGGTTTTATTTCTTAACAAGATTGTTTTTTTTATATCAACTGCCATAGGGTGCAATGAGGCAGTTTTAATGGCGTATGAACGGAAGTCAACCCCATCTCCTCCAAAAAAAAACAACAATATTATTCGTTACTACGCTAAACTTAACATAATTTTGGAAAGGTTTTCATGATTAATAAATTATCCTTTAGCTTGAAGTGGCATGTGTAAAATAAACGGCTAAACTTTATGAATAAATAGCGGCAATATGAAAAATATGTAAGGTATTTTAGATAAACGATATATTTCCTTTCCTAAATTCCGGTCTTTTTGTATATCCTATTATGTATTTCCGTTTCCTATAGTGAAAATATTTGTAGTTTCCGTGTGATATTTAAGAGGTATTTTCCATCGTCATTTTATGACAGATACCAAACAATATACTTGTAATTCTGAACAGACTGAAAACTGACAAAATTGTTTGAGTGCATATGATTGAATGAATATCTTCGAAAAATTGTTATTTATTTTTTTTGTCAATTATATCCATTTGCATAATAATACTAAAACAGCTGTAGACATATAATTTTTGATACACTCTTTGAATTTATAATATTGTTTACTATACTAGGGAAGAGTTGTACATATATCAAGAATCAGACCAGCAGGCACAAGGCAATAGGACCTTTCAAGAAGAAACGTGAGTTGCTTTTACCTTACATATATTTTGGAATTTTTCTCCGCAGCGTATAGCTGTGAAATTTACAAGCTCAATCACGATATGTTCGCACTGAGTTAAATAAAATTTAGTGTCATCAAGTTATTCGGTAATGTTATCTGTAGGATATGTTTCTACCAACAGAACATTATAGCAGTAATGTTTAATGTATGAATGGGGGTGGGTCACATTCCAGCCGCACTTCGGTACCCATTTTTAACCGAAAACTGAAGTTATCTCCCCACCCTTTTCATGTTAAATTGATGCGGTTCCCCGGAAGGAAAAGCCCTTGACGTGTAAAAATCTGTTGTTAAATTGCTCAGAGCGTCAAGGGAATCTATTTCATAAAGTGTTTCAGTGTAAGGTCAATATTTTCCTTATCTGCTACGAAATAAAATTCAATTTTGCCGGGCAGACGTGAAATGACGGAAATGATGACGGCACGTAAATTGCAGAGCCGAACGTCGTGAAGGACGGTCGATCCAAACTGGCTTTTTTTCCGATTTTAACCTCCAAATCCCCCCCAAAAGATCTTAAAATGAACACATAAGAAACTACGCTGGTCATTAACCCTTTGTGGTATAAAACAATATTCGTGGATTTTATGTGAAAGAAGAAAACGCGACACCCAATTTCAACTCTGTTCATTTAGTAATATAGATGTTTATTGTAAACCTAACAAATTAGACGTATCACCACATCCGTACGTACATGAGTAACATAGGCGGTGCATCATGTGGAACCAATCGGCTGACGCTTTTGGAACACCTCATATCACATCCCTTCTTGTGGGATTCGCATAGTGCAGTTTTAGTTTTAGATGTTGTTTGTCTTGTGGTCAGTATTTGTTTTTATGTCAAGGCATTGTCACCACGTTTTTGCCTTATGCATAATATGAGTTTGAACATCTTTTTGGTATCGTCCGCTTCTTTCTTGGGTCCTAACTAGAACAAAATAAAACATGTCTCAAATGCAAATTCCGGCGAACACTATAACACTGGTATAAATGATTAAAGATATACAGACAATCAATTATGTCAGACAAAAAAATATTGGAATGAGAATAAACAAATATTTGCGTGTCGATAGGTAAACATCCTAAACAAATTTAAATGAGAATATTAAAGACCGGGTCTGAGGTATAAATAGCAGCCAATAAGAAAAATGTAGGTAAATTCAATATTCTTTGCAGGTTTCATGATTGGGAAGCATTTTTATGTTTTACTAAATAAATAATATGAAATTTAACTTGATATTATTCTCATAAGTGCAGAACATACTTATGAAAAAAATATAAGTTAAAACAAAGTAATTTGATAAATTTGTTTTTATGTAATTGTAAAATAAAATTCAGAAGTGGTCAACATTTTCAAATGGTTTGATTGACTCACTTGAGGCGAAGCCTCCTAATGTTTGTTAACACAACAGCATGCAAATGCTACAGTCTAAAAATACACGAAAACCCTACCTTTTTCTAAGCACAGACAAGATACAATCCTCACAAAGAACTAAGAATATTTGCAACTAGGTTAATTTCTATAAAAATACAGTAGACCTCCTCAGAATATTTATAGTTTAAAAAAATTCTCAAAATATGTTTGAAAATCTGTTAATTGGCTTAATGATATTGTTCACTAATTTAATTTGTATATTTATTATTATATTATTCCCACATGTGGCCCATGTATGGTACATTTGGTAAATTGGGGAACCATGATCTTACTAATTCAATGACACATTTGTCATCAAGTCTCGCCTAGTTCCTTCTTCTTGGATCCTGACGGAGAGCTGCACGTTTTCTTTCTAGATACCTAGGAACCTGCAATACATTTCTATGGAAAAGATTTGTCCAGAAACGTTTTTAGTCCGTTTTTCTCAAGGAAGAATTTCTTATATGTGCTATTTGTGTTTCACTCTCCCACCACATTTGTCTGTTATGTTCATGTGTTATGCACGGTTGTTTGCATAAACAGTACTGACATTCTTCAAAATTATCATTTTGCTCTATCAAAAAATCATCAAAACCTCTTGAATTTCCTGCCCCATTTGTCTCTGTATTTTCATCTTTGTTTTCTTTAATTTCAATTTCTTTATAATACCAGTAATGGTGAGCAAATAAATTATAAATAGTTTCTTTTTGTTCTTCTGTAACCTCAAGAGACACGATAGATTTTCCTTGATTTACACTGTCGTCCACTTTCAGTTGATAGCATAGATATGACCAGAAACTTTGCCCTCCAAAAATGTGAACCAAATGCTCCAAGAGAAATTGAAAATAAAGGGAACTACTGGTAGGGGGGGGAATAGATGGTATTTTAAGTTTAAGGTACTAATTCATGTTTGTAACTGCTCTTTCATTCTGTTTTAGATAAAAAAATATTTTCTAAATAAAAAGTTACTGTTTACTTATGTGTATGTTATGCGTAATATTAAATTTCAGGACAAGTGCAATCTATAAAGAGGGATGGAGAATGTAATCCTATCCTGTTAAATTATTTGTTTTTGTCATTAGTCATTAATACTTTAAAAAAAGAATTCTTATATATGTATCTTTGAACAAAAATATAAAAATTAGATTAAGACATAATCTTTAGATTATAATTATGTTTTTTGTCATATATAATATCTACCACTCCCCTTTCACCAAATTTACAATATAAACTCATCCATAATCTGTATGGGAACTCAACTGTTTAGTCATTTCAATATTAATAAAAATCTATAAAGACAAAAGTATGGCTAGTCCACAAAACAACCGGAAAAGAATGGAGTTTTCAGGAAGCGATGAAAAGAAGGCAGAAATTCTTGGTAAAATACTGGAAATAAGGAATATAATGACTGAAAGGTTAAACAAACCTACAGGAAATTTGCAAGTTTTAGAAACTTTATTGGAGATGTGGTCTAGTCAGGAATTAAACCATTGTGGTGACGTCAGCCTATTCATTTACCGTGGATTCTTTTTCTAGAATCAACGCTTCCTAAATCTGCCGCTGAAATTGACTCACCAAATTATATTCAATTGTTTCCTTTGTGTGCCTAACTTCATTAAGTTTGAATTGGCTAATTTACTGAATTCTGTTCACTAATGGAATTAATTTAAAAACTTACCTTTATTTTTTTGTAATTTTTATATGCCTTCACTGGGGATCGAACACTTCCTTGAAATCTGTTATGTGTGACTGACATCAACACATCGACGAAACCTCTCGGCTACCAATGGGTTACACTATAGATGTCTATTTTATATATTTAAATGAACATCTGATATACATCGGTTCATCGGACACACAGGGCTTGTACCTTTATTTATATATATATATAGACACAATAGGCAGTCGTATAGTATGAGTTGGTAGCCGCGAGGTTAGCATGGTTAAAATCAATTAGTTAAAGATAGGAATTTGTCGGTTTAGGTTCGAATCCCTGTTTTCTCTCGGTTGTTCCAATTCTTAAGTGATCCCTGTTTTTTTCTAATTTTGCATGTTATAGTGGATATTTTTGTAATAATAGCGCGTTTTACCGGGGTTTTTTTTATTATTATTGTCTATTTCACATGTTTGAAACAAAAATGATTATATTCTATTTGTCAGTTTTTGTTTTATAAATATAGTATGATTTCATCTGTTTTACTACATAATTTTACAAAGGTTTGTTCGCAAATTCCTATGCGCGAAAATCGTGATGTGCCTAGAGTGCTAGAAAAATTTCGATAACATACTTATTATATATACTTTATATATGCTTTTTGGTCGGGTTGTTGTCTCTTTGACACGTTCCCCATTTCCATTTTCAATTTTATTAGAAATAATTTCGAATATGTCTTATTTTGTATAACAGATAATATTCATATGTCTGGTAATATAAAGATCTTTAAAGGTAGAAATGTTATATTTGTATTTTGTTAACCAATTAATTGTGATCTGAGATTTATCAATGCATCGTTGGACACGATAACATGGTTATTTAAACTCACTTACAATACCTTCTAATTAAGAAAAGGCTTTAATTTTGAAGAGAAATTAACACAATAGTTTAAGTTATATATACAATGGATAAACGTAGATTCATGAAAAACAAACCATTCGCCCTCCGGGCTCATGGTTTCTTTTTCAAGAATCCACGCTTATCCATTGTATCTATATAACATAGGGAATGCTTCTGATGAACAATCTATACATGTACCAGATCCAATACCAATTACCTAAGTTAAAGCTAGGTAAAAAGATGTAAACCAAAAAATATTCATGTGTGCTGAGAACTCACTAAAACGTTACAAGGAAGTGGTGGAAGCTCATTCCAGATACTGCAAACATAACCTAATTATAGAGAAATTGACAACAAGAGGACATGTTATTATGACAAGAATGAAATGTGAATCCTCCCACACTTTTCTGTGGTCTTCTTCTCCATACATGCAGAACAAGAAATACTTGTTGAATAACAGAGTGCTACATGGTTTAATCTGTAGTGGAACGGTGCCATCACATTCTACCAAGTTTGTAGATGGTGCTGGAGTCGGGAAAATTAATAAGGAAAAAAACAAAATAAGTTCTTCAACTCATATGAAAACCACATTCAAACAGAATACCACAAGTCTACAACAATAGCCTTGCTTGAAGAATCAGCCTCATATTATGATGACAAATTTGGAAAATAGATATTTTAACTGACGCAAGGCATGGCTGGCGTAAAAAACGCTAAAGATGCAAGTATTGTTGCGATTGGTGAGAAAATACACAAAGTTTTAGCTTGTCAACATGTAACCAAAGTTGACGATGTTGTGTCTCAAAGACACGAACGTATCGGTACTGATAGGGTATATAAATATTTGGCTGAAAAGGAGGATGCTGTAGGTGTCCATTGCCATGACAGGAATCTATCTATTAAAAAATACATTCGTGTAGAAACTGATGCAATTATTCAAAATTATACATGGCATTATGTTAAAGCAGTAAAAGCCGATCTAAAAAAAAAATTACATCTGGAACAGCAAAATCTGAAAGATAAACGTGGTCCTTTCAACCAAGTGATAAACTGGAACCTGTATCAACTCATATTCATTGGGCAATCAGAAATTGTAACAATGATCCAGAGAAATTAAAGTCATCAATTCTGAATGTAGTTGACCATTACAAAAACAGACATTTATCTTGTGATCCTTCCTCTAGATGTAAATATGATAAAAATTATGAACCATCATGAATTGTTTTGACTGATCCAGTGGCTGCAAACACTGTTACTTGGAGTACATTTAAATTCCAACATTTTTGAATATCCTCATGATTATGTTTTAAGAAAAGATACATTTTATGTTGAAAGTTTCAACAACGTTATAAATATTTATCAGGATAAGCGAATTGCATTTGTGGACAAAAAGTACAATGCACGTTCAAACTTGGCAGTTTGTCAATGAAATGAAAATGTTGACACGGACTTCACTTATCTTTTAAATTCGCGAAATCCTAGAACCCCTAGAAGTGTAAGAGGCAAGAAAAATTATAAACAGAAAATATTTGAATTTCAAGGAAATATACTGAAAACTTTTGAAAATGTTGTATATTCAAGGAAAAGAACCAGGAGGAATTAGTTCTCAAATATTTATAACTATATCATCAAAATTGCACTTTTAATTTTAAATTTATTTTATTTTCTACTTTTACTTTTAATAACTGGATGATTTTAAGTGTTTATTTTATACCTATTGTCAGTCTGGATTTAACAATAGTACTGCATTAAATGAATGGTTAGTATAAATCTCTTTCTCACTTAATTGAAAAGCAATGTGCTCTGCACATACACAAACTATTTTTAACACAGATTATGATAACACACTGGCAAGCTCCGCCTCATTACCACCTGTTAAAAGTGTTAGGTCAGACCCGGTCTTTAGATATGTTAAGATATATGAACAAGCAACGAACGCGTAAATACTTTTGAATCTGTATGGACTGAAACAACGAAATAAATTAACTCAATGAATCTGAGAGATAGTCATTAATACAAGTTTAATACAGAACAACCGGTTAATACAGAATTTTGATTGGTCTAATTACCGGATTTTATCTTCCGGTATCTGGTACAAAAAGATGTCAGAAAATGGATGTGTGTAATTTCGCGAAATACTAGAAGTATTAGATTTCAACAAGTTTGATGTTACACATGTAAAGTTGTTGTCATTTTTCATATGTTAGAATATTTTTGTTCTCTTTGAGAATATGCACATTTGGACCGTGGAAAGGGCAAATAGCTAGAATTGTCAATTGTAAGAGATTATTTAACTGAGGGACCATCCGATATGAGACAGTTGCAGTCGGAAAGTTGACAATCTTGGATATGCACCGTTTTGAAGGGGCCACATTTGTTTAATTAAAAGAGAGAACAATTGAGAATACATGTTAAAGGAAGTCTTGCATGTCTTACTGTTGTAACACTTACGTCAGGGATTTATTTTGTGTCTTAAATTGTCTCATATATACAACACATAAAGACTTTATATAAGGTAGTGATGGCCATGAAAAGGGTTATTTGTAATTATATCCTCTGCACCAGATGAATTTCAAATTGTTGTTTCTTGTATTTAAATTAAAATTAACCCATGTCTTCCATATTGATTCTGCATGAGCCTACCTACAGTTGTATAAGTCATTGATCACTTTTTCGGGATAATTTTAAGGCATTGATTAATAAAGATGTTATACAATAGGTGTTTTCATATCAATTCTATATTATGTCCTCGTACAGTCGTATTGGGTCTCTATCAGCTGTATTGGCCCTTTGCTATGCCTCGAGCCAATACAGCTAATCTCCACCCAATATGACTATACTTGAACATAAAACAGGACTAATATTATAACACACATTTAATAACACTATAGCACAACATTTAAAAAAAATATGTAATACCGCCTAATACACCATGACATTTTTTGTTTCTTTCTTCCTTTTATTGATTTGAAAATAAATCGATCCTGTTTTGCATACTAAATTGAACAATATTATTCTCCACTTGACAACAATCGAACAGAAAAGGATACGGACAAAGATTAAATTTAGCTCTAAATTTCTCCCAAATACTCAATCAATTACTACCCATACATTTTCTATTCTTAATTGACACTTGAAAGGCGTTAAAGTACCTATATAAATTGTATACTTGAAATATTAAAAATAAGGACAATCATAAACATCTTGTGCTTCATCTTTATTACATGTTGATCAAAATGGTTAACAAGGAAGTGAACGACGAATGCTGCATTTATAAATGAAAACAGTAAATGAAGACGTAAGTTGTTTTTGCTTCATACTTTAATATGTATAACAATTAGTAAAATAAATCAAATCCATAACGTTACAGAAAAACTTATGCTTAAGCGCAGCTATCTCTGATAGTCAATACTCCGATGCGAAACAACTAAGGTTAATGATGTTTCTCTCCTCTTGAACACGCCGAAAAAATAACACCTTCCAGGTCTAACAAAGTAAGTCCATGTGCCATAAATAGTATTTGCTACACATACTCTAAACATGAGGTAGTTTTATATTAAAAATGTTAAATATTGTATATTCTTTGGGTAAAATAAGAATTAAACAAAATTAACCAAAATTAACCAAAATTATAAAATATTTATTCAGAGAAAAAATAAAGGTCTTTCCACCATTGCATTTTTATAAACAGATAACATAATTTGTGTGAAAAATAGCAACTTCTTATTTCTAAAAGTAGCTCCTCGTGTAAGAAGACAACTTTTCTTAAACTGGTTTAAACATTATACTGTTAGTAGTATTTTGTAATGCAAAATGGAAATAAATACATAAATTGATTAAGTCACTTTAATTGCTAAATCTATATGATTTCTATATACTTTTGCATAAGACAGGGAAAATAACTTGCTACTTTCGGTTAACAGAGAATTGTTTCGTCGTTCGAACATTTCTTAAAACAAGACGTATTCATGAAAAGTACGCAAAGCCTGTGTTTAAAAATCCGGTTCGAACGATACAGATTGATAAATCATTAATTGCATATTAAAACGATATTTTAACCAAGGGTTCATTATGTTGCAGTTAGAACTTTTGACCGAAATTCTTATTTTGTCGACAGTTATGAACAATTTGTGTCAAGTTTTACTTATCCTAGGTTCCATCCAATTTTCCTGGATTTTGATAGGTTCAACAGGTCCTGGGTATATTTCCAAAGCACCGGCGTAAACACGCGGTTTTTTTCTTTGACTTATGGTTCTGCTTCTTTATTTGTATGATCTTCTTCTTTTTACTCATTCATTAAATGTATAGTGTTGTACAGGTCTCAAAAGCCTTTTGGGGAACCGTATAGACCGGAAATAGGTTAATTATGAGGGTAATTATTGAGGAAAAAAAAGGAAAATATCAAATGGCAAACATTCAAATGAACAGTTGTAGTGTGTCATTAGTTAACATAGGAATACTTATTTTTCTAATTTTATAAATGAGATAATTAAATCCCTATGCAGACTTTATTTACATCTGACCAAGGAATGTTGTGCCCACGACGTTTTCGTTATATATGTAAGACTCAAATTCATGGCAGGGACCAAATCTATGGTAGATTCAAAATTTTTGGTAAATATAACGTCATGCCATCCCAAATCTATGGCCGTAAGTTTTCGTATGTATGGCGGATTTTCTAGTTTCCGAATCTATGGCAGAATATCTGCAAATAGAGGACCAGTTAGTACATATCTGACCACTGATTTGCCTTAAACAAATGATTTTTCTCAAGAAACTTTACTTTCTCAAACAGTGCCGGTATTCGACATAAATATAGTTTAAAATGATATAGATAGTTGTGCGATTTTTCTTTTTGGTTCCCATATCTCAAGAAAATTGTTTACTACAATAGTACAGGTAGTTGCTGCAATAAAGCTAAAACATGCTGTTAATTATGTTAAAAGAAATTTAAAGAGTACCATAGGGATAAAAAAACCAAGAAACAGCATAGCATAATAAACAATTATGAAAAAAAGCAAAAAGTATACCAGAATCGCGGTAAAAACTCGTACACACAATGGACAAGGCAACACCAGGAACACAGACGAGGACAAGAATACAATGAGCAGAAACAAACACGAAACACAAACACCGAAAACATCAAAAATCAATACATGAATAATGCGAGTTTTTCATAAAAGCGAGAGTAAAATTAGGTCTCCCAGAACAGTAAGCATTTCTTGCTCCGCATGTTGCACCCATCGTAATGAACAAAGGTTAAGAAAAAGTCGATAGCAAGAAGAAGTCTTTATAAGAACAATGGCTTAGAAGTACGACAAAGCGGAAGATATCCATTACCATTTTGGAAATGGACATTCAATAATAGTCAACCAAAAAAACCAACCCATAACAGTAATGAAGTGATTTACACTGGTACAGACTTTAGGAGTGAAATAATGTGCCTCGAGATAATGGTCATATCCTACTATGTGCATGTAAACCATCTGCAAATTGCTCTAGAGGAAAAGCGGAAAGTATTTCCCTGTGTATATATTTGTAAAACTCTGTGAGTTCCGGGTTAATTTCTGTTTTTGATTTACATTCTACACATACAAAAAACATGTATAAAACAACATGTTTAAAACGACATTATATGACATTATAATTTACCCCTTTTTCCGGAAAATTACGCAGTTTCAAAATCGGCCATAGTTTGGAGAAAAAAAAACTGCCATAGATTTATGATTTGTATGGCGTTTTTGACGTCATCTTTGCCGTAGATTAGAAATCTGCAATGTATCTGGAACCCACCATAGATTTGAGACCTACATATATATTTGCAATTTTATTGTTGTTATTTTTTATCAGTAATCAGACAATAAATTCTTAAAATCCAAATTATAAGAAAGTAGAACGTAAATATCTTCCAACAACTAGTTTTTAAACAATTTATTTGACTACAAATCAAATAGACATAGATGCATACGATTTGTCAAAATATTCTTTCTAATAATATACTTTGCCTATAATATGTGTCTTGCTCATACAAATTGATTACAGAGTAACTATGACCGCCTGGTCCAATTGATCTGTCAAACTGATTTTTTTTCTGTTTATCAAAATTAAAACAATGCCTGTAAACGTCGATTAGTGAAACTGTATGCCAACACCCTAAATGTAATATCTTCAGCTTCAAGTAAAGCTAGTTTTAGTGACTTAAAACGAGTACAAACGAGATAATTAAATCAGATTGATCACTATTCCTAAATTGGAAAAGGATGTACTTCATGCAAACACCTATTTTTATCTAATGCATTAGTCATTCACTTTACGGTATAAATTAGGCAAACACCCTTTTAACAGACCGTAATAAGACTGCAAATACGAACGGAATATTACGATACATTTAATATATATAGTAGTGCTTAACCATAAAGTGTTTTGCTAAAAAATAGTTTTAAAAAATCAATACATTTTCCATAACTATTATGTCCTATAAATGGAAACATGACATACTATTGAGTGTTCTAAGTATTGAACTAGATTGTGTCTTCCTCTTACTATTTATATATCAAAATTAATAAAAATAATGTTAGAAATCTTTTCTGAAGTCGACGACCATTGATATTAAAGTGTATTTCTTATGTTGTCATTAGGTACGATACTTTGAACTATTTTTAGTAACTTCATCATCTGCAAAAAAAGTCAACATGATCTGCAAACAAAGTCAACATGACTGCGTTCATAATGCACTTCCGTATAGTGGTCAATGGCCTCAATGAAGATTTCTGTTTTACTCCCTTCCCCTTGTTTTGCTGGATAGGAAATAATGCAATCCATTTTCCGTTACTTTTAAAATGGAGGTTGAGGTAGGCGACAGACTAGTACGTAACAATAATCCGGCAATACTGTTTAGAAATATAGAGATTAAAGACGGTCTTCGATAATATACAATATATTTTATGGTTAATAATGTTAAATTAACTCCTTACTTGATTTGTCTGTGTGGCTTGTTTGCGGTCTCATCAAAGTATGCATCACATCTCCTTTTATTTAAAATAATAGGGTTGACTAGGATATATAAATACTGTCATCCAAGGACTTCTGTCGTATAACAGTTACCCATTGCTCAAGTAGGACCACCGGTTGGCTTAGTTGGATTTATCTATACGTAGCCACGGCCGGTCGTAATTGGGACATTACATAAGATATCTCGTGCAGCAAATGTCGACAAAACTGCAATCCAATAGTAATTCGCTTCCATTAAGGGTCTATTGCTACACAATGACGATGCTGTTTCGGTTTTACTCCCCTTCCTTTAGTTTTGCTGGGTAGGATACAATGTTACCCCTGTTCACAATACAGTTTGAATGATTGTTAAGGTAAAAGAAGGAGCAGTTCGTAGCTTTTATCAGTTATAAAGGTTAATAAACAGGCTTTGGTGATAGACAAGTGTCAATATGTATATTTTACTTGCGTAAACTATTAAAAATCAGAGACTATATAGATATAAGAAGATGTGGTATGAGTGCCAATTAGACAACTCTCCATCCAAGTCACAATTTGTAAAAGTAAACCATTATTTATTAAAGTACGGCCTTCATCACGGAGCTTTGGCTTACACCGAACAGCAAGCTATAAAGGGCCCCACAAATGACTAGTGTAAAATTATTCAAACAGGAAAACCAACGGTCTAATCTATATAATAAACGAGAAACGAGAAACACTTATGAACCACATCTTCAAACGATTTAGTTGTAAACTAACTGGGTTATAATTAAAATTGTAGACAACGTTATCTGACAAAATAAAAATGTAAGGCAAAGACGTTGTTTAAATAGCAAATAGTAGAAACTTGATGGGTAAAAAAATGACTGAAAAATATTTTAAATTCACTCATTTTGAACAAGATGTAACTCCAGGACGAGAACATGATATACAAAAACAGCAGGGTTTCATGAGATATGAGACCCTGCTTTGTACTAGTCTAGACCAACCAGTTACGGCTAAATGAAATCAGCCAAGTTCACGTGTGTCCACGGGAATTTACGAGACTGATATATCCGTCTAGAATATTCCGCCATTTCGTGTGTAAAACACGACTTCAACAGGTTTCATCATACTGCATGAAAACTACGATTATCTACAAAAAAATAACTTTACTATGTTTGATAATTGAATGTTGTTTTCAGTCAATTTTGTTGTCATTTTATAAATTTTAAAAAATGGCATCAATGAGCTCAGATTTTACATGTCAAATTTCTGGTTAATCACTCGTATGGGCTACTGCCTTTGGGAACTAAATTATAGAAAACT